GTGGCCGTGTCGCCCTTCTTCACCGTCACCACCTTGGACGGCGACGAGAAGTACGGCGACGCTGCAAGCCCAGACCACCTCGCCTCAGACACCGACCAGACGCTAACACCTGCGGTAGCTGTTAATCGCGCAACGTTTCTTGAACGATGACCTTGCTTCCCCCTCCCTTGCACAATGAACAGTTGAAGGCAGAAGATCGCACTGATGACAACATTCCAAACACATCTCCGGAATTTTCTCCAAAAAATCTAAAGAAACGACCGTACAGGTCAAGATCCATCACCAGAGATACTTCGAACTCCTGGGAAAGTTAGAACGCAAATTATTGAGAAAGTTGCGAAGGCATGACTAATTCCCCAGAGCCTGGCTTTGCTTCATAAAATCTAGTGGCCGATTTCGTAACTAATACCCCCACTCTACCAGCATTTCTTCAATTAATCGTTCAAGAAAAGTTGCGCGAGTAATACCTTCAGAAGCCATCTCTGGTCTCCGAGTTAATAAGGATCACTTCAGGGGTATATGAACAATGAAATGTAGTACGAAAAGTATACGGCATTGTTTGCCAGACGTATTGCGTGCGTGATAGCGGGTTGTCTTTGGCGCATGCACTTAATCCCCACTATAGAGTGGAAAAAAGAACCCGTACAGTGGCTTTCAAAATTGACCGTACAAAATTGACCGTAAGAAAATTCAAAATGGCATAGTAAACATATTTATTGCAGAATTGTGAAATACAAAATAAAAATAGGTATTAATGCAAACATTGTTCACTCATACATTACAAAATATCTTGTAATAACTGAATAAATAATGAATAAAAAATAAAACTTCACCTAATGCATATGCAATTAACCACAAAAATTAACGTACACCGGAAATCTGTCTTTGAGAAAAAAGAAAAATAATAAATAAAAATTTGGTGGCACAAATAACAACCTCCAGTCTTTTGCTAACATATATCTTACAAGCTTCCTTGTAAATTCAGGTGCAATTTTCTTCCATTCTTCAGAGAAGATCCCCTTGCGCTCTTTTTTATTCGAATCTGTATGCTTCTGCACACGTTTTTTCCAATTCCATCCAAAAGTTCTCAATAGGATTGAGAGCGGCTGATTGTGGCAGCGTTTCAAGGCGATTTGATACATTATTTAATATGCATCACTTCCCAATATGCGCTGTATGAATGAACGCGTTGTCCTGCTGAAAGTAAATGTCGACCGTAGTGCAAGATTACCTGCATTTGTTTGATGTCGCTTAGGCCCAGGGAAGTCGTAAGCCTGCTAAAACGAACTTAATACTCGTACTACAGCGAACCAATTTTCATTAACTTAAAATGTACTATTGAGATATTAATTTTGACACATTAATTTTATTTTTGAATTTCTATGATCGTTAACAGTTTATAATACGGATAGGAATGTAGCTTAATTAAAAATGCACAACCAAATTGTTATTTATAAAACATTGAACTTACTATCAAGCCGTCATTTGAGTCAAATGAAGTATTCCACTTTGTTTGGAGCTGGATCTGTGTATTAGAAGAAAATGTGCATGCCTAATAAAAATAAATGATCTCAAAAATTATATCTCTACTAATGTTATTCAACGCGTAAATGTGAAGCAAACTAGAATGTACCTCTTGCAATTTACTGCCAGTAACTTCCCTTTTCTCGAAACCTTTGCGTTTATATCAATTAATACGCGCCTACATAATTCACGTGCACATTTGCGAATCTTGCGAGGAGTTCACCCACAATATCTGTCTCAAGCAAAGTAATATATAACAAGAACAAAAAAGAAAAAAAAGAAAATAAAATTTTCAATACGTTTCAGTCAGGAATTAGTCGTTCAGTTAGTAATTTAGCTCGTGCAAATCAGTACAATTAAACGACAATGATGCACAACATTTTATTCGTCATCAGACTCAAAACACATTTCGAACATCTAGTTGTGTTTGAAGGCTGTGCGTTGGGACACTTTTGGCTTTGTCTCAAGAACTTCTAAAATTTATAATTTTTTCGTTATCTTCTAATTCTTTTATGACGAATGAAACAGTACGATAGTGTGTGCATGAATACGGATGTGTTGAGCATGTAGAGTATGTGTGCGAGTGTGTAAGAAGGAGGGGTGTGCGTGTTTATGCGCGTACGTGCGCGTATGTTTGCGTACGATTTTCATATTTAGCGAAAGCTGTATATCCACATCCAATAGGATACGCATGCTGTTGGATGTGGATGTGAGGGTACCTTGTCATATTGCCTTCTTAACTACGTACCGGAAATTGTACAATACATGTTTCTTGTAGAAATATTACTAGTAATATACTGTCTAAATGGAACTTTTATGACAGAGTTTTGCCCCAAATGATGTTTAATTTACAGATTGTGATTCCAGATATGATATTCTGGCTTCCACTCATTGATTGATTTTAATTATAAAAATTGTTTACGGCACAAAGAGTGACATTTTAATACACTTTTTTCAGTTGTGCCTTAAAACGTAGCTCTTTTATCAAGAATTTCAATGTGATTGTAATGCAATGTGATTTTATTACTAATGGTATTAGTTTTCCAAAAACTATCGATTGGGTAGTTAACCTTTGGCATTTAGTTTGCAAATGAAACGCTATCAGTTTCCACATAAGTCCGTTCCATTGATGCCAAACTAAAACCAATTACATAACTGTTTCTTTATTTTACGATAATAGATTTTTATATAATTTAACACGTGAATATAGTATGTTTAAATACATTGCTGTTGAATCTGATGGATCAATAAAAATATTAACCCTTGTGGACGAATAGGTTGAAAATATCATCCAGAGGGAGGTCAACTTCAGCGACATTAAACAAGTGTGGGAATTTGTGAAAGAGTACGCACTTACAAATAACAAAATATTCATAAACGTTTTATGAATTATTTTTAAAACGCTCACACATAACATTTTTCGAAAATACGAATTGTGTCGATTTTGTGATGCTAGAACAACACAGCAAGATTCCAATTGGGTTTATAGCTGTGTTTGTGTAACAGAGATAGGTATGGGAGAGTGCACCGGCTCAAGGTTGAGTACTTACAGTTGACTTTGACCTGCACCATCTTGTCGATGGGGGAGCCGATGCCATTCTTCGCCTGGCAGAGGTAGAACCCCTCCCTGTCCTCTTTCACGTTTTGCAGTAGCAGGGAGCCATTGCTGAGGACTTTGGTGTAGGTTCTTTCACGAATGTCCTCGTAGTCTCCAGACCCTTTGCTCCCTGCACACACGCGCCGAAAAAGATGTGGGGTGGAGGCGCGAGATTCGCAGAGACAAGGATTGCGAGGGCGGGGATTGCGTGGGTG